CCCCTAGTCTGCTTCAGCCTGGCCCTCCTCCACCTACCAGTGCTGCGCCATAAAGTGTCAAAACACTGCAGGAGTAATTTTAGGGCAGATATTAGCCTTATAGAGATTAAATAAAAATAAATAGCCAAAATAAAAGTTATGGCACAACTAAGGTGCACAACACCCAATTTTGATCACTTATAAACCAGAAACAGCTGTTAGTCATCTCAGTTTAAGATTCGTAAGACAATAGTTTAGAAAACCTGTGTTATTGTGTTTAATTCACGTATCACTGTTTTGATTACCTCAAATGAAATAATTCAGTGTAGTTCAGTAATTCCTGGGTGTTTTTTTTCCTTCAGTTGGGTTCATATGGAATATTGAAACCATATAGCTTCTTATTTTATCAAAGACTTCACTGACGGTGATGCCACTCTTGTCCTACAGATGTACATCACCATCAGTAAAGTGTTTATTAAAATAATAGGAGATGCAGCTAAGAGTATGTGAGATCTCACTAGTCTTCGTAGACATGATTTTGTTTTTATGTTTCATTTCAGATCTAAAGGAGTTTAAAAGAATAATTATAATGCATATGGAATGAACCTTTTTGTCCAGTTTGGGCAGGTACACCACCAAACTCCTGGAGACATTTCAGAAGAAGGACAGGAATTGTTGGACTCGCTGAATGAGGTAACATTTAAAATAATTTTAATTACTTAAACTAATGATGAGAAAATACACACTGAGAATTATGTAAGTAGGTACTGTTACATTGTGAAAAAATTAATTTGCAGGTCTAGTGATGGAACAGAAAACTTCCCTCACTGGGCAAACAGTTTCTGGGCCCACAGATTATGACATGCACTCGGATTTCACTCTTGTCTCCACACATATATAAAAAAAAAAAATTTAAATCACGTTAAATAGCAAAATCCACAACGTTAGAATGCAGTTGCAGGCTTACATTCCTCATGGGTAACTTTCTGTTTACGTCTGTGTGTGCAGTTATGTATGCATGTATGTTACATTTGTTAGGGTGCATTTTCTGCTATAACCTTTTTTGTGTAATGACGTCACATCAATGGCAAAAGGGACATTATCATCCATTGCTCAGCTGAGTGTCTTGCAGAGAGTGGAGAGGAGCTGATCAAAGGCCATCAGGTATCTGATGACCTTATTAACTCATTCACTGCCCGCCATTTCCTGATTGGTAAAGCCATTTGCTGTCAGCGTTTCTCACCGTTTTTACTGGTTTTTTAAGAGTCACAGAACGTTGCGCGCTAGGATGATGTCAACGCCAAAACTAACAAAACAAAGCGGAGACTCACCTCTTACATAAGGAAGAATCCGAGAGTTTCGAGCGTTATCTGTTCTTTCATAATCCGTTGTTGAATTGTGATCGGCAGACGCTTTTTCGGTTCGTGCCTCACTTTTTTTTTACAGCAATGGCCCAAAACGATCTCCGAACACACGGATTTTCTGCTTCCTGATCACGTGACGTGTGACGAATGCGAATGAAGATCACCTTTAGAGCTGAGATGTTTGTTCTCAGGGTGTGGGGGCTCGTTCCGACGCCCACACAGTAAAAAAAATGTCAACCGGTCCAACCGTTCACTGCCAATGACAACTTTGGTCATCATTGGCAGTGAATGGTTGGATTTAAAATGACGACTTTAGTCGTCAATGGCAGTGAATGAGTTAAGAGGATTGTCTAGCCTTATAACATGGTCTTCACTTATGAATTATATTAAAATGAAGTTCAAAGGTTCTCTACACTTATGATGTTTCGTTTATAAAAAGACTCGATGCATATTTTTCATATCAGGTGTTTAACTGACTTCTGTATGTATTTCATGCTCTTACCCTTCAATTAAATTGAATAATCCATTATTTTGTATGTATTATGTAATGTTTTGTAAGTGGTACCTTTTAGTAAATTGTCAAAAAAATTCAATAATAGTATTCAATATTATTGATTATCCATATTCTATGGAATTTTACAGCTGCCACAGCTAATCTCAATTAGCCTGTTGAGTCTCCCAGCATAGAGAGAGAGATGGATGCTGAAGAGACATCTCACAAAAAGAACAAATGAGCAAACAGCGGAAGACTAAACTGCAGCCAGGCAGATGTCTTAAATCGACATACCTCTGCTCAGAGCTATAGAAGAGGAGGAAAATATACAACTCTGGTAGAATGTGCTCTCAGCCTATCAGGGAGTTGCGCCCTGATGAAGCACAAGCGAGTGAAAAATCTTACACACAGGCAGTGTGAATGTGCCGGGTAGACACAGGACGTCCGATGAAGCAGTCCCTGTAATACACAAACAGACTGTGTGTGGCCTCCTCATCAGGATTGTGGGGAGGAGGTAAAAACCCATCCAGCGTTTCTCACTGTCAGCCGTTTCAGAGCGTTTAGCTGGGCAGAAATGCAGGAAGGCCAAGGAGGCCCTGTTGCTGAGCATCAGCGGGTCAGCTTATCATATCAAGTCCCACCCACATGGGGGGAGGAGCGGAGAAGCTGAATTGAACTCGCAGCATATGCTGAGCGCCGACCAGGTATAACCAATAGCGTTAGACTACCGCTTACGTGCTTCACATTTAAGGACGTACCTCGGCTGATGCAGAGTTTTCACTCACAAATAAGTGTTTAAAATATAAATATATGAAAACACAACATGAGATGAGAATAATGCTTGTAAAACAACGTGTTTTAGCTCTGTTTGTTGGCTACAGAAGCACATTTGTAAACAAGAAACGTGAAGTCACCATCTTACAAAAATAGATTGACTATTTGTCAGCCACTAGATGGTGCCATCGGATAAGCGACTACTCCAGAAAGCTACTTTAACCCTCTGGAGGCAAGCGTTGCAGATTTGCAACGTTAAAACCTACCTACCTGGTTACTCCACATACGTATTTCATGAGCATTTTTTTACTCAGAAGTACCCCTGAAGGACTTAGTTGTTCATCCTTTCATCAAAACTTATTTTGAGCCTGAGAGGGTTAAGGAGAACTTGCGAGACAGCAATTTGCCAAGATAGACAGCAGCGCATGTGCAAGAGTGTGATGTCATCAGAGGCTGCAGGCGATCCATAAACAGAGCAAGCAGCATGGCAGAAAGAAAGTCTCTAAAGTTTGGGTTCACTTCAATAAATGTGATGGGTGATGATGACAACATCATCTTAATCTGCTCCAGCAGGTAACTAAACTGCTTAATCCTCCCGCACTGTTTATGTGGTCAGATGGATCCCTGGTGTATTTTTATTTTAAATGTTCTGAGGGGTGCATACCTTCACCCCTGCCAAGGGATACACTTTAAACCCTGTTGAACCATCCACTGTCCTGGTGGGGTCACCTGATAGGACAGTATAAGGGTTAAGATAATGTTAGCTTGATATTTTAGCTTCTGTTAACAGCTAATGGTGGGTTCGCTTTCTCCTCAGAACTGGACTTCCTGTTGTTTTGCCGAATCGGTCTACAGATTCACTAATTTTCAAGTTAAATTTGCTCTAAATCAAAATCACATGAGCCAATTTCCACATGCTGTGGAGCCACCTTTATTCAATTCACGCTTCATGGCGTTAACCTGGACATGAAAATAATTGAAAGCTCCATCATGCATCAATGATCTGATTGTTCATTAAGAGCTTTATATGTGAGAAGGAGGATCTTAAAATCTATTCGGAATTTCACAGGTAGCCAATGCAGGGACGCTAAGACAGGAGAGACATGGTCTCTCTTTTTTATTCTCATCAGAACTCTAGCTGCAGCATTTTGGACAAGCTGAAGATTTTTAACTACATTCTGTGGACTTCCTGAGAGTAATGAATTACAGTAATCCAGTCTTGATGTAATAAATGCATGAACTAGTTTTTCAGCATCACTCCTGGAAAGGATGCTTCTAATCAGCAATATTCCGAATGTGGAAAAGGGAAATCCTACAAACCTGTTTAACCTGGGATTTGAATGACATGTCCTGGTCAAAGATAACATCAAGGTTCCTTACTTTGTTCTCAGAGACTAATTTAATGCCATTCAGGTCAGGTGATGGGCTAAGCAATTGCCTTTTCTGAATTTCGGGTCCAAAGATGAGAATTTTAGTCTTGTCTTGATTTAAAACCAGAAAGTTTAGAATCATCCAATTTTTTATGTCTTCAAGATAAGCTTGTAATCTATCTAACAGATTAGGTTCATTATGGTAAATTGATAAATATAACTGAGTATCATCAGCATAACAGTGGATGCTATCTAATGATTTTACCAATTGGGAGCATATATATAGAAAAAAGAATTGGTTCAAGCACTGAACCCTGTGGTACTCCACAAGTAACCATGGAGTTTGAAGAAGATTTGGTTTTTTACATGAACAAGCAAGCTTTTCAGAGTCAGATGACTCCAAATTAGTGTAGTAGCTCAGGAGGCAGAACGGGTTGTTCAGTTATTGGAAGGTTGTAGGTTTGATCCCGGCTCCCCCCAGAGATTTCTGCTGTTTGTATCCTTGGTCAAGACACTTAACCTGCCTTGCCTCACCTCACTTCGCGTGGCCCAGGGCAGTTGTGGCTTCTTTGCAGCTCATCAGCACCAGCATGTGAATGGGTGGGTGGCAGATTGTGTTGTGAAGCTCCTTGGCTGGTTGTAGAACTCTGGGGTACACTGACCGAAGTGAGGCTGCTGAGCACAGGCACCACCGGCCCCTCTTACCACCAGTAGCAGGCAAGGACGGTTAAGGGTCTTACCCATGGACACAATGACTGTGAAAGTCTAAGCGGCTCACGAACCTGCAACCCTTTGGTTATGAGGTGGGCTCTTAACTGTTTTACCACTTCTGCACCTTATTACAAAGAAGAGTTGGTGCAACAAAGAAATCCTCAACCACACATTTCTTTACTGTTGTGCATATATATTCTTTAACCTTAATAATGTGATTTCTGTTTATTCATTATGTACCTGAGTTACAACAGAAAGCTTGCTAATCTTTGGTCCAGTATTGTGACAGGAGATGAAGAAGATGCTTACGGTTTTGCTGAGGTAACCAGTGGAGATGTTCCTGCACTGTTTATCTTCGGAGTGGCAGCATCCTCCACATCTGTGCACTGATACACAGCGCGGCTTGTAGAAAACATTGGTGGGAGCTCCGAACTCCCTGCCTACATCCACACACACTTCTCTGGGTGCGCACTGAGTCTTCCTCCACTCCAGCTCTATACCTGCACACAAACAAAGTGCACATGACCACTTGCTTCTCAGCTTTAGAGGACACTTGCTCTTACAAAGCAAGTTTTATCACCGATGTAAAGTCTGGTGACGCTGAACATGAAGGTAGAGAGCATCATTCCTTCAGACTGATTTGGACTGAGATAATGAAGAGAAGGAGCTTTCAGTCTACGCTGTTTCAGCTGTTGTCTTTGACACAAATTCATTATTTTCAAAACACGTGAAAGATGCCCTTATGATGATCTAGCTGTTAAAAATTTCAAACATACTCTTTAATACATCCAAATCGAGGTAAGCAGCAGCATACATCGGCTCATCGGTGTAAGCTTGAGGGCTCAGGCGGTGGGAGAATCTGGAGGCTGACGAGGCAGCAGAGAGTCTGGACCTGCACTTCAGACCAGACCAGTAGGAAGGATAGATCAGACTCATTAGTTCGTCTACACTGGAGGCTGAACGCAGCTTCTGCTCCACATCTGTCTCTGGTGGAGCATCCTGAAATCAAGAAGGGACAACTTGGATCAGAGGACAGCACCCCAACACTTTAATGCTCAGCTACATACATGAACACATTCTAAAAACAGATTATGCATGTATTTTTCTACCTTTAAAACACTTGCTGCTAGTTTAAAGCTGCAGTGGAAAAATTTGGAAAATAAATTAGCTTCAAACATTTTTTTCATCCCTCTCAATAACAATTTTATAGCCATAAATATATTGAGCAAGTGGTTCTTTCACATTTGTCTTTAACCTAGCACAATTCCCCACCCACTTCCACTCCGTCAATCTCCCCCTTCCCCTTCATTCACAAAACTCCACTACCTCCAACTCCCCACAGGACCACACCTTCCCTTTCTCCACCCTCTTCCTAACATCTGACCATGTGAGGAGAAATGAGGCGGCTTAAGAGAGGAAGTCTGCAGAACCTGACAGGATCAGCCCCAGATGGCTCAAATACTGTACTGACCAGCTTTTGGGCCATTCCCATCTGTACCGGGTCGGCCCGGGCCGGGTAGCGTTGGTTGTTTACATATCTGGGTGGCCTGGTATTTTTCCAGGCCAACCGAGGCTCATTCTCAGCCCTCTTCTCAAGGGGGTCTGCTTCAGGCCGACCAGGGCCAACACACCCACTGCTGACAGCAAATTCACACCTTCCATTAGAGCAAGCCTCTGATTGGTGGGTAGAATCAGCCCACATGGGCTTAAGACAAGAATGTGTGGAATCAACTGGGCCAGGCTGGGGCCGACTGGGGCTACCCGGCCAGGGCCGACCCGGTACAGATGGGAATGGCCCACTTGTGAAGTGGTCACGCTCATGTTCAACCTACCCCTACTGCACACTGGAAGAAACAGCAGTCTGCTCCTGCAGCACCTCAGAGAGCTGCTCCTGCTAAGGGTCAGTAGAATAAAAGCCCCAACGCTGCTCAGCCTCCGCCTGCCTCCATTCAGACGGCGAGAAGAAGGAAGCGCTTAGCCTGACAGCCTTCCAAGACACGAACAGCAAACTGCTTCCAGTTCAGTGCTTGGAAGTTCAGTGCATGAAAAAGGGGATGTTGAAACCTGCTCCATGTGCCCCAAAGAGACTCTTCATTCCTCCCATGGCAGTTTGCTGAAGACCTAGCTAAGACTTGAGAAACAAAACATCTATGAACCAGGGGGTCTCAAACAAAATGAGATCCCTCTCATGACACCTCTGCCTCAGGGCTAATGGGCTCGATACATGGGAGGCAACATCGCCTCTCCTCCATTCATTTTCAATGAGACGTGCGCAACAAAGCGATAATCGCGGGTCTCCCTCCTACAAAGCGAAACGCGAAAAACGTGCGTGTGAAATTTTGCACTCGTGCACATATCGTGCACAGGCAACCCAGCGATGCAATCCCAGAGAGTTGAAATATTTTCAACTTTTCATCGCTGTCGCTGGGACGAGGACCAATCAATAGAGGTTTCATTCACTGACCAATGAGCGGGCATTATGCTCCGTACATCTCCGAGCAAACATGACTCCGTTTCTCCTTCTGTGACTGTGTTCATCTTAGTGTGAGGTCCAAACCGTGTGATAAATTGAAGCTTGTCCTGATAGACAGAGAGTAGCCCTTTCCTGGTTTGTAATATGGGATGAACCCATTGTCGTTTTTTTTAATACAGTAAAATCAGAAGTAAGATTTCACATAGCTAGCAGCACCTTGTGAAACATCATATCTACCGCTTTTTTAACTCTGAACCACTTAAATAACCTTAATTCCCTCCAACCTGACACAGCCAATCAAAACAACGGAAGATTCGATTTCGCCATGGAACAGAAAGCGTAGACGGCTTTGCCGCTGCCGGGGGTCGCCTCCCGTGTGTCAGGTAGTAAAAGCGACAGCGACAAATTTCGCCGATCACGTTTGTTTGTTGCCTTCCGTGTATTGAGCCCATAGAGCTCCGAGAGTTGACGTCACGTCTCCCGGCATGCAACAGTTCAAATCGAAACGGTGCCATATTGGCAGGCAGAAGACTATTTGTTATTGTCGGAAAACTCAATCAAACAGGAAATATGGTAGATTCCTGTTGTGCCCCAGGATGCAGAACAGACACGGACGACATAAGGAATGAGCCATCTACAGGATTCCCCAAGATCCGGAGCACCGCAAACGTTGGATCATTATAATAAAAAGCGCTAGTGACCGGGCTAAAATGAAGCTGTGGGATCCCGAGAGTAAAGGTTTTCGCTTATGCAGCGACCGCTTCATATCAGGTACTTAAACCAACGTTTCCTCAACTGTGTATGGTGTTTATTTTTAATGCTTTTATTACGATTCTTACTGGGCTTCCTAAACTTATTTTGGCGTGGCTTTTTCTGTCTTATTATTCATAGCAACAAGTAAACATCACGTAAAACGTTGCCTTGTGATTTCTGCGTGCTGCCGTTTACGTGTTTTATGATCACAGCAATTAACCGGCTAAGCTGTATTTAATTTTTAAGCAATGGTTGATCAATTGTCAGATCACACATGAAAAGCACTTTGGATTGCTATTATCTGTCTCACCGAGACAGATCTCAGACAGATCCTGAGACGCTCCTGCCTGGCATATTTATTTTATTCACGGAAAAAAATCAAACTAGTGATTTCTCTTGGTGTTCAGTTTATACATTCAAACAGCACAGCGCTCTATTTAAACTACTTACATGTAAATCTATGTTATTTGTCCACCTATCCATTTTCATCCGCTTATCCGGAGTCGGGTTGCGGGGGCAGTAGCATCGAGAGGCCCAGACTTCCCTCTCCCCAGCCACTTGGGCCAGTTCCTCCGGGAAAATCCCAAGGGGTTCCCTGGCCAGGTCCAGTAAGAAGTCCGCTCCGACAACTTCTGGGGTTTTTAAAAAGTATCCCAGGGGCACGGTAAGGGTCGGAGATGTTTAGTCTATTTAATTTCTGACTATATGAATCGATTTCTTCGGTTTTAAAGTGTGAAGTTAACTCCGACGAAGTAAAATCCAAGCCGATTCCATTCATTTTGTTTAACTTTGTTGCCTGCCAACATGGCGTCTACTCTTTGAGAGTCACGTGACGCCTGGAGCTCTATAAGTCCCCATGCATGTGCAGTACAGACCTGCTGACGCTTCACTCCCATGCCACTAGAGGGCGAGCTCTTTCCACACATGCCAGACTGGCCTGTCAGCCCGCTGTCGCTGAGAATGAAAGAATGGGAGGACTGAACAGAGTCAGACTGGGTTCTGAAAACAATAAGCAGAGGATACGAGCTGCAGTTTGCAACAATCACCCCTCACTTTATAGGTGTGAATCAACCACAAGCTAGGGGGAAGCCACTTGTTTTCTACAGGAGGAAATATCCTCGCTGTTAGAAAAAAGGGTGATAAGAGAAATCCCTCCAGAGAAGATAGTTCCTGGTTCCGAAGAAAGACGGTAGGACGTGATCTATTCTAGACCTCCGAGGTCTGACTAGACATCTCAGAAAATACTAGTTCAGAATGCTGACGCACACATCTCTGCTGCGTTTTCTCCGCCCAGATGACTGGTTCACGTCAGTCGATTTATCTGCCTCACAGGAAATATCTCAGATTTGCATTCCAAGACAGATGTCATGAGTGTATTGTCCTTCCTTTTCATCTCTTTCTGAACCTGAGAGAGAGCAGGTGAGAGGGCAGGGCATCAGAGTAGCTATAATCATCAATGACTGATTGGGGCATCTTCTCAAAGAGAAGCTGCGGACACCACATGGGTAACCTGGGTTTCTGGATAAATTTAGACAACAATGTCCTTTTTCCCTTCCAAACCATCTATGTGTATTTACTTTTACTATTGTTGTCATTTCTTCTTCTTCTTCCTCATCTTATTATTATTATTTTCTTATTCTTATTATTATTATTATATTATTATTTTCTTCCTTTCTCTAAGTGCATGTGCTGCTGCCTTAACGAGTACATTTCCCCCCTCTGCGATTAATAGCGACAATTCTATAGACCCATTGCATATTATTGCTTACATCGCAGGACAAGGTCATGGTCAGCTTTATTTCCATAGACCACTTATGTAACTCAAACTGCTGCACATAACAATACCACATAAAACTCAACCAAAATGAACATGTTAAAATATAAAAAGTAGAAAATAAGAATAATAAAACCATGAGTAAAATGACAGGGTGAGAGTAAACCATAACTACACGATTGAGTAATAAAAACTCAGTAAAACTAGATAAAAAGTTGAAGTGCAGTGTAGCGTGGCCGGGCATGAAATGAGTCAAAGTTAACTTTCTGCCAAGACACAGGTTGTGCCAACCTGAGACCAGGAGGTGTCAATAATGGATATCGCTTAACTTGTCCAGTATCCTTGTCACAAGACAAAAGACGCCTCTACAGGAGACAATACTTTTATCAATCAATCAATCAAAAATTTATTTATATAGCACTTTTCATACAAATTAAGCAACTCTAAGTGCCTTACAGATAAAAACGACCCCATAAAACCTATAATCCATCCCTTTCCCAATTTAAAAAGCAGCCTTGTTGCAGGTACACACACACGTACACACACACACACACACACACACACACACACTCACACACATAGCACATAAATCAACAGGAGTAAACATTTGGCCGAGTTCAGATGGATCAGGTAATGAACAACACTCCATCAGGAGAGCTAACTTCCTTTTAATAAATATTTCTTATATTTGTCTTATAAAAGGATTCTGTACTTTGAATGTAAAGAACAATTAAATTAAACAATTACTGTTTTATCTTAAGTGTTAAATAATGCCTGACTGCATCACAGTAATGATTGAGTCAACATAAATGTCTATTCTTATGATTTCTGTCAGATCTTAAATACACCAAATTTGTTACTTGTTGAATTTAACAAGGTGTGATCAGTATATTCACACATTAATACTAGTATATTATTATGAATGTTTTACAAATTTACTCCACATTAATGTTTGACATTTTTACTTCACATTAAGGGAGATAACCTCTCTAAGGGTTT